TTTAATCTTTGGCGGTTTTCAGCAAATAGCAGGCAGTTTTACATAATTTTCCTCCCTTTGAAGTGAATTGGAAACGGCTAGGTATATAATTTTGGTGTAGGCAAGATTCCCAGTTTGTTTCTGTTTGGGACCTGAAATAATAAAAACAAATTAAATCAGATGTAATCATCTGCTGATCATGCTAATATAAAACGCGCGTCCTTAATTCCTTACATGCACCGTAAAAAAATTTAAATAACTGCTCTGCAAGTAGCATTTATTAGCAGTACTAATTTAAAAAATCTATAACTGTAAGTAGATATGTTTAATTTACTTACCATTGTATCCTTCGGAAACCAGGAGTACAACAATTAAACTCCATGATAAAAAATAATTAAAAGTTATTACAAAACACAAATTGTCCCACCATTTTTAAAAAACATTGTCTAAAACAGAATACTGGCAAAAAATCTGAAGGAATTTAATTTTACAATAATTCGACAAATCAAAACGAAATCAAACCGTAAAATCACAACAAAAGCGTCTCTGAGTGACAGTTAAAAATCAAATTTTATTATTGTCAGATATTGACATTTGCATTGTTAATATTGACAGTTTTAATATTTTGCGTCTCTGCATCTTGGAGGAAAAACTATTTTTAATGAACTGTCATTTCCATTTAAGTTTCCCAGCCATGAAATTCACTTAAATTAACTAAATTATATATTTTTCTTGCATTTTTAGCTTTTATTTATTACTTGTCAAAGATTAGATGTCAAAGAATTTAGATACGTTAATTTGACTTACCTGCTTCAGTAGCGTATCGGATGTTTGTGTTAATAAATACTTATTATAACTTATCTATTTTTATTAGAATTATATATTTTTATAACAATTTTAATAACTACCAACATTTATTCACAAAGTAAAATAAAACAACAAATTATTGAGCCTACCCCACGTCGACCCTACATCATAGTTTTACATTTTTTAAATAAAATTAGAACGACACCGATAAACCGGAATTTAAGTCGGCCATATTTGAGGCCCATCGCGGTGTACCTAAGATTTTTGATATGCTCCTTCCTTAGTCTTCTTATTCAAAGGTCCTTATATTCTTTAGTCATTGGGAAGAATTAGGACATAACCTCAAAAGTTATGCCAAATTATTGAGCTTGACGTTTAAAAAGTAATTTTCACATTTATTATGTCATCAGTTTCACGATTTGAAATTGACGCGCGGAGCTTGCCGACCAATGGTCACCGTTATCACCTGTGACGTAGTGACCTGCGCCATATCATGCCTTGTATTCTGTGCAATAATTGCGTGGGAAAATGTTCCTAAAATGTTATTTTTCGGTCAGAACCATGTCTCTAGAATATTTTGTTTTTTAACTCATGGCAACACAGGCCTTGGATGACTTTTAAGAGCGAAATGGACTTGCCACAAACATTTTAATTATCTTTTTGATGTTATTTTTTATATGACGTGGTGGCTTTGGTAACTATTGTTGTGTACCTATATGACTGAATATGGTTCTTAATATCGAAGATTGTGCAAAAGTCATTGATCTTGTTGAAAATGGCCGAAACTATGAATATTCTCCTGGTCCTTGAAGAAGAATGGGAAAACTTAACATAATATATTTGCAGCTTCATTGACAATTGACAGTATGAATCGACAACGTCTAAAGACAGTTATAGCAACCGGGGAAGGTAAATCAAAGTATTTTTTACAAACTTTTTGTTTGTTTGTACACTTGGTTATTACAGTTTTTTTATATCCTTAGTTCTGTTAGTTTTTACTAATATTTATTAAAATCAAGTCTGTATCGTATTATTATTACGACAATAGCCATCAAAGCCACCTCGTGATATTAAAAAATAACATCCTAAAGTAATGATATAGTTGAAAAAATTGCAAATTGTTGGTAGCAAGTTCATTTCGCTCCTAAAAATTATGCAAGGCATGTGTTGATATGAGTCAAAAAATAAAATGCTCAGGAGTCATAGTTCTAATCGAAAAATAATGTTTTAGAAAAAGTTACTCACGAAATTATGCACAGGGTGTTTTGAAGATAGGATAAAAAAAATAACTCTTCAATTATACCGGGTTAATCAGTCAAATGCTAATGTTTATCCAAATCTGAATGAGTTTACGAATTAAAGTTGATATATTTATATACAGTTTGCTAAAAATTCATGAAAATTGGGCTAAGAATAAAAAATATAGCACTTTAAACTTGACGAAGATATTTTCCGTTGCGTTTCCTGCATCTGAACGTATTTATTATACAGGGTGCCCCAGAAGTAAGTGCAAGTATTTAACTGGTAGTATATGTAGTTCAACCCCAGAAATACGCTTATGAGGTTTATGAGAAAACAAAATTTTGAAAATTCGAAATTTTTAGAAAAAATGTTTTGGATTTTTTTTTTAGTTTTTAGTTAAAAACATAATTTCTTGATAATATGGTAACATAGGTATTAGATTAAATTTACAAGAAAGAAAATCCCGAAAAGATCCAGTGGTTCTCAAAATTTTAGCAAAAAATCATTTTTTTGGAAATTTTCAAAGTAAAATACGCTATTTTGGACTTATTTGAAAAACGATAAAGAAAAAATATGTTTCTTTTATCGAGATCTACCACACCTTAAAATACTTGCACTTATTTCTGGGACGACCTGTATATTAAAAATACTTAAACTTCTCTTAGTTTTTATGAATTTTCAAATTAGCCTCAATAAAGAATAAACTGTATGATATTAAATTAAATGTGGTCTGCTGTTTTTTTTCAGCATATTAACAGAATCTGCAGACATCCGGATCTGTTAATCCAATCAGCTTTAAATTCTTATTAGGCTTACAATACTTTGTCAGCAAACCCACTAAAATTTTTATTATGGTATGCTGTAATTTTTTTTTCTATAAACTGTTTTGTCTACCATCTGACCTAGTGAATTTTCGACCATTCTAGAGATTTGCAGAGCACTCACTGTTTTGTGTCCACTTTTGTACTTGCTTTTGCAGTACCATAGTAGAATTCTAATCAGATAAATAGCATTGTCTGGTCATATCATTTTCCTCTTCATTTTTCCATCTTCCTTGTCTTCCTTTTTATTTCCTTACGAGTCTCGTGACCTAATACCCAGAGACTAACAAAATCAGCAATGTGTTATGTATTTTTGTAGAACTACAAAGAATAAGAAGTAGTTTTGTAGAACTACAAAGAATAATGAAGAATTTTTGTAGAACTTTCGAACCTTAGCTTCGAACTTTGTAGAGGTTTACAGTGGGGATTGGACCCTTTGGTGTTACAACGGCAAAATAAAACACTAATTCACCAAAATACACCAAAACACCTTACTTTTAAACACTGGGCGCACGTTTCGCTAACTATGTTAGCATCATCAGCAGATGATAAAAACTGATAAAACTGTCAGTATTAATCATCTCCTGATGATGCTTACATGGTTAGCGAAACGCGCGTCCGGTACTTAAAACTAAAGCATTTTGGTGAATTAGTGTTTTATTTTGCTCTAAATAAGTAAGGCTTCATTCAGAACCTCGCAATTAGTGGAATAAATGAGTGGTTTCAATTACGCTTAATACTTTTTAGTTTACAATCATTCACAATATTTAAAAAACACAAAAAATTAATCCAATATCCTAGCAACAGCTTGCGTTAGTCAGTTGTATCAAAGAAATTCTTTGGTTGTATCCATGTCCATAGAGAAAGCCTAATATTTAGCTTATAAAACAATCAACTTTTGATTTCTAACTACAATAAATTTCTCTTGAGGGAAGATTTTTTTTACAACCAAATCAAAGGCCTAAATGACATTTCTCGCAAATTTTAAAGTATAATTAGTGGAAAAGTCAAAAGTTTGATAACTTTTTCTACTAATTGACAATATCTATCACTAATTCTGACGTTCTGGAGGCTTACATTGAAATTAAAGGAACAAACTTCTACTCTAATTGAAACTAGTGATGGGATAACTCGAGCGAAAATTTGCTCGAGTACTCGATTATTGAAATAACCGACATCGCTCGTTAATAAGCGATGCAAGTGATGAATACCAAGCGACGAACGCAAATGATCCTAGAATGAAATAAATTGAAATCCGATTTTAATGTGACATACTCGATAAAAAGCCGAGCGAATTTTCTACATACATTGCAGGTAGCAAATTTATACAACGCCGTATTTATATTTATATTTATCCGTTGCGTATCTGAGGGACAACTTTTTACGACCTACATCGACAATGCTTTAAAATAAACTAAGTCAAGCGATCAAGCGAATCGCTCGCCGCTTGCAATTCATCACTGCGCACGCAACTTACTGCTTGGCGCTTGGTGTTAACGAGAGTACTTAAACAAGCGACGGGTGAAAAACCGTATTTTTAAATACGAGTGATATTTCGCTCGAGCGATCACTCGGTTATTGCAATCGCTTGAAACTCGAGTACTCGATTGTTGAAATTAATCGTTTTTTTCCATCACTAATTGAAACCACTCATTTATTCCACTAATTGCGAGGTTCTAAATGAAGCTTAATGAACATATTTCAACTTCAAACGAATTAACGTTGTTTCCAATATAGAAATTTAACATTGAATTCAAGTTTAATAACTTTTAAACCCTTAAAAATAACCCTGTATATTATTACTACCTCATGTATCTAAATACCACCTAAATAATTTGAGAATATTTACATACACTTCAAACGGAGACACGAACAATAAACAAAAGATACTTCATTCAAGATCAAGTATATTTCAAATATGGCCTGATTTTCAAACAATATACCGTGACGACATCATGAGTCTTAAGAAAAAAAAATAATCACGTGCTTAAATACACGAGACCTATAATAAATTTAATATTATTCAAAAATCACAATGACTAATAATTACCTAATCACAATATCAATTAAAAGGCAACGATGAAAATAGGTTTCTAACAGACATTAGTAAATTATATTTCTTTTGTGTCGAAATTAATTTTATCAATAAAAATATGATTAAAAATATTTATTCTCAAGTACTTAAGGGAATTCGTAAAACTAGTATTATTTGTTCGTTATTTTTGTTTAGGATATCATGACGAGAAATTTAATTTTGTGCATTCTATTTGTAAGTTCTGTACTGTGTACAAATTTCCAGAATGATAATTACAGTAAGTACAAAATTATAATACATAATTATATAGGTTTAAATAAAAAATAGTTATGTCATTTTCATTATTTATTAAAGCGAATTATTTCATTAATGGACATAACAGACTGTCACGTCCTAAGCAGAGGAAAGTTAGTCTGGCTGAAAATTTGCGGATGCAAAAATTTAACAGATTTTTAAAATCCGTAACCCTTATTTTCCCATGCTTGAAATTTAACATATCATTTAATACTATCATAAACTATAATCAAAAGCAAGTCTGGCTGATTTACGAAATTCGGCATCTTGAAAATTGTAAAAACTACAAAAATGTTGCTCTTATTTTCCCGGATTTGAAGATTTGTCACGTGATAGATAATACCTACTATCCTAGATCATATATACTTACTTGCATAAATCAACGCCATAAGTTTAGCATTAAAAATATGTCTCCAACATCACGACATTCCATTTTCAAACCTTCTTTGATGAACAGTGCTTTCCATAAAGTCAATATAATGAAAAATATACGAAATAATATACATGTACTGATTTCTATCGAAAATCGACAACTATGAAACTATGATCCCTTCCCCGACACAAACGTTACATTGTGAGACAGGAAATTATAAAGAGAAATAAGCCCTATAACATAGGATACATCATTTTAATGAACAATGCTTTCCATAAAATCAATAAAATGAAAAATGTACGAAATAATATACATGTACTGATTTCTTTCGAAAATCGACAACTATGAAACTATGAACCCTTCCCCGACACAAACGGTACATTGTGAGACAGAAAATTGTAGAGAGAAACAAGGCCTTATAACATAGGATACAACATTTTAATGAACAGTGCTTTCCATAAAATCAATAAAATGAAAAATATACGAAATAATATACATGTACTGATTTCTTTCGAAAATCGAAAAGTATGAAACTATAAACCCTTCCCCGACACAAACGGTACATTGTGAGACAGGAAATTGTAGAGAGAAACAAGCCCTATAACATAGGATACAACATTTTAATGAACAGTGCTTTCCATAAAATCAATAAAATGAAAAATGTACGAAATAATATACATGTACTGATTTCTTTCGAAAATCGACAAGTATGAAACTATGAACCCTTCCCCGACACAAATGGTACATTGTGAGACAGAAAATTGTAGAGAGAAACAAGTCCTATAATATAGGATACAACATTTTAATGAACAGTGCTTTCCATAAAATCAATAAAATGAAAAATATACGAAATAATATACATATAATGATTTCTTTCGAAAATCGACAACTATGAAACTATGACCCTTTCCCCGACACAAACGTTACATTGTGAGACAGGAAATTGTAAAGAGAAACAAGCCCTATAACATAGGATACAACATTTTAATGAACAGTGCTTTCCATAAAATCAATAAAATGAAAAATATACGAAATAATATACATATAATGATACATATAATAATAATATACATATACTGATTTCTTTCGAAAATCGACAAGTATGAAACTATGAACCCTTCCCGACACAAATGGTACATTGTGAGACAGAAAATTGTAGAGAGAAACAAGTCCTATAATATAGGACACAACATTTTAATGAACAGTGCTTTCCATAAAATCAATAAAATGAAAAATATACGAAATAATATACATATAATGATTTCTTTCGAAAATCGACAACTATGAAACTATGACCCCTTCCCCGACACAAACGTTACATTGTGAGACAGGAAATTGTAAAGAGAAACAAGCCCTATAACATAGGATACAACATTTTAATGAACAGTGCTTTCCATAAAATCAATAAAATGAAAAATATACGAAATAATATACATATAATGATTTCTTTCGAAAATCGACAACTATGAAACTATGACCCCTTCCCCGACACAAACATTACATTGTGAGACAGGAAATTGTAAAGATAAACAAGCCCTATAACATAGGATACAACATTTTAGTGAACAGTGCTTTCCATAAAATCAATAAAATGAAAAATATACGAAATAATATACATGTACTGATTTCTTTCGAAAATCGACAATTATGAAACTATGAACCCTTCCCCGACACAAACGGTACATTGTGAGACAGGAAATTGTAGAGAGAAACAAGCCCTATAATAAAGATACAACATTTTAATGCACAGTGCTTTCCATAAAATCAATAAAATGAAAAATATACGAAATAATATACATGTACTGATTTCTTTCGAAAATCGACAACTATGAAACTATGAACCCTTCCCCGACACAAATGGTACATTGTGAGACAGGAAATTGTAGAGAGAAACAAGCCCTATAATAAAGATACAACATTTTAATGAACAGTGCTTTCCATAAAATCAATAAAATGAAAAATATACGAAATAATATACATGTAGGTACTTTTTTGTGATCGTATTTTTGCAAGAAAATCACTCATTTCATTTTCTCTCAAGTGAAGACTCACTTTGTTTAAGTTCTTAGAAGCTTTGTTTAAGTTATTAGAAGCTTGTTTAAGTTTTTAGAAGTATTTAGAAGCTAAGTGGGAATATTTAGGTAACAGTTTTTTATGAGATTATATTTGTTTAGAATACCTTCAAGAAGTTAAAAGGGGTTTTGACGAGTATATCACCACAGACAAAAGACCTTCCTACTTAAACGAATCCTTGGCTAAATTCAGTCTTCCAAACTTATTCAGAGACAATGCATACATCGGAACAACACCTACTAAAGAAGTACATGCTGTGGAAGATGACATAGTGTGTGGTCTGTGCTACTTGGCTGCTAATTTTATTATACTAGAAAGAAGAAAGGGTATGCCTAGACTTCATCTAAAGAACGAAGTTGCTCAGCTATGTCAGGTGTTCAAAATCGAAAGTGACATAACATGCGATGGAGTTGTGGAGTTAAACATTGTAATTACTTGGAACTAATTAGAAATTCGATGATATCTTTGATTATCAGTTTAAATGTATTTTTTGTAGGATGTTATGCTTTACATTATTGATAATAATGTCAACGTGACAGGGAGTAGAGTATGCGACATTCTTTTACAAAGTTCATGTAATTCTACTGAATTTGAATGGACAGTTGATATTCCTGAGGGTCAATCACCATCTAGACCAGAGGTACTGTATATTACACCGCAAACCCTATATACAGGGTGGTCCGAACTGTATTCCGGAATCTTCGGCAGCATATTCTGCGGATAAAAGTAAGTAAGTGAAAAAGTTCGTATAAATATATGTCTTAAAATGCTTAGTTTCGGAGATACAGGGTGTAGAAGTTTCGTTTTTATTTCGATTTTTTCCAAATAATTTCTGAAGTAACGTCAATATTTGGATGAAAATTGGTGTCTGGTAGTTTTTTGACATGAGAAACTGGATTTTGATGTCAATATGACTCCTGTTTGTAGCGGGCGCCGCCTACATGTGTTTTAAATGTTTTGAAGAGTAATAACTTTTCGCCCGTACCTGTATAAAACTACAGAGTAAAAAAATATACATTTCCGTCACTTTCTACGTAAAAAATATCTCTTGGTAAAAATCGCTACGAGTCATGGTTATCGATATATTCGGAATCTAAATAGTCAATACATGTCATAATTACAAAAATTATACATGTTGACTGGATAGTTATTAGTTATTAGTCGGAAATAATAAATTTGGGAAATTTTTATTTTTTTAAATGAATCATAAATTTTTCTGCAAAAAAATTATGATAAAACAGTTTCTATTGAACTTTTGGCACAAAAATATTTCAAATTTATGATTACTATTTAGTCAACATGTTGAACTTATGTCAATGATGACAGGTATTGATAATTTCGATTCCAAATATCTCGATAATCATGACTCGTAGCGATTTTTACCAAGAGACCTTTTTTACGTAAAAAAACGTCGTAAATGTATATCTTTTTACTTAGTAGTTTTATATAGGTACGGCCAAAAAGTTATTACCCTTCAAACCAGTTAAAATATATGTAGGTGGCGCCCTCTACAAGAACAAGTCATATTGACATCCAAATCAAATTTCTCATGGCAAAAAACTCCCAAACACCAATGTTCATCCAAATATTGACGTTACTTCAGAAATTATTTGGAAAAAATAGAAATAAAAATGAAGTTTCTACACCCTGTATCTCTAAAACTAAGCATTTTAGGACATACATTTATACGAACTTTTTTGCTTATCTCTGCAGATCTGCAGAATATGGTGCCGAAGTTTCCGGAATATAGTTCGGACCGCCCTGTATATTAGATATCAAAATTAAATTTATAAATGATTATTATGAAAAAAAAAAAAAAAATAAATAAATAAAATCATTATTTTTTGTACAGCCTGTTGGTGACTCAACATTTAAAATTCTCCATGTCTCTGATATCCATATGGATCCTCTGTATACCCAGGGTAAAGTAAAATCTTGCAATGAACCTCTTTGCTGTCAAGTGGATCAAGAAGATGGGGACTCTAATACAGGAAATGTCTGTGGTTATTGGTCTTCTTATGGTAATGATGTTTCAGAACATCTAGTGGACGAGATGATACGATTTGCAAATACTTTGGTAAGTATCATCAAAATCATCATCATATATGTCATATTTGAAAATACTTGATTATTATTTTATCTATCTTCAGTGAGTTAAGAAGCTCTTAACTAACGCATTTTGAGTGAGTTAAGAGCTTCTTAACTCACGTATTTTCATTACCGCACTCCTTGTTTAGATGACTACCAAAGAGAAAAAAATATTTTGTAAAACATTTATTTTGTACTAAATACCTACTAAATACAAATAATTATAAAAACATGAAAACTTATTTATTATAAATGTTAATGATACAGTTTGAACAGTCTTTCAAGTAAATGCCTGATAAAGCATATCATATATATTCATTTTAATAGATATCATAGTACGTATCATTGAATAGAAAGTTCAAAGAGACGAAGTAGCGGATATATTGGAAAAAGTTTTTCCTTTTCATTTCCATAGTTGTGTATGTACTTTTTTTCGTGTGTATGTATATTCATACTTCTGTTTCGATCTTGCTGGAACAAATCCAGAAATGGTTCTGAATGCCTTTTCTTCAATGTCAGAGGGAATACTTTCCGAATCGCTTATTTTTTAAACTAGTGACACCAATTTTTTACTGTCATCAGCTGTCATATTGACATTGCCATGCATGGTTTGCATTTGAACAAATTAACATTAAGGTAATTGATTTTTAGGATAGGTTTATAGTTAAGTACAATAATTTTTAAAATCCATTGTGTGTTTTTATAGTTAGACGTAGATAAAATATTGTACAATACACGCGATTTAACTCCATTAAGATACTTGTGTTTGTGTGGTTACACAACTCGTGCTAAGCACTCGTACAACTTTCACGCGCGTATCTTAATGATGCTGTTAACTCACTTGTATCGTAAATATCTATTATTGTACCTTTTGGGATACTGTAAGCGATTCATTACTTTTGTTGTAATGCCTGTATATAAATAGATACATTCTGACGATTTTTAAGTCCTGTATTATTTACTGTCAATTTTCAAATTTTAACAGTCGTTGCCATTACGCCATTACTCTACTACTAATTGCTCATTGTTAATTTTAAGGAATTTGATTATGTATACTTCACCGGCGACATCATCAGTCATAGAATTTGGTCTACTTCAGAAGATAATAACACAAAAACTATCAAAAGTTTAATGAACAAATTTCGAACAGGCTTCAACGTTCCAGTTTATCCAATTCTGGGAAACCACGAACCAAGTCCTTTGAATGTGTATGTTAGAAATTATTTCTTTTGTATTTTTTAAAATATTATACAATTTTCAGATACGAGTTTCAGAACACGGCAACATCAAACTTGTCAACTCAATGGTTATTGGACTTAGTTGAAACAGAATGGTCCGATTGGATACCAGAATCAGCAAGAGACACTATTTCTCAAGGCGGATTCTATACAGTATCTCCAAAAGAAGGTTTCAGACTTGTAATTCTCAACTCCAATATTGCCTATATATTTAACTGGTACAAGGATATTATTTAAAAATCATGAAAGTTGTAAAAAAAATATTTCTAGGTGGTTAATTGAATCTGATAAAGATCCATACGATCAGTTAGATTGGTTCGTGCGTATTTTGGAACAGGCGGAAAGAAATAATGAAAGTGTTCATGTTCTGTTTCACCATCCAAGTGGAGATAAGGAGATTTTAAAAGTTTGGAGTAGAGAATTTAACAAAATTATCAACAGGTAACAATAATTAGTTGACTTGAATAATAATGGATTTTTACGTATTTGATTTACGCTATATAGATTATACCAAATAAACTTTTAGTCACGTGATTAAGCTTGGCGACGTTGCACATAGTTGCACGACGTAGCACAGCGTTGCCCATTTTTACATATTTTTTTTTAATCAAAATATTTTAGGAAATAAAAACAAATTAATTATAAATATATAAACAGTTATTATTTACATCAACAAAACTCACCTCCTTACAGCACTTAAGGGATATAAAGGACCATTACTAGCGCTTTCCCGTTCAAAATATTTTAATAAGGTTGCGATGAGTTTTTTGCAAGGGCTATTAAACTATATTACACTTCGCACTAAAAGGGGTTCTAAAAAGAACAATGTTCGACTGCAAGAGCTACTAGTAAAAAAATAAGCTTAAAGTATCACAACATAATTCATTTAAACCAAAACCTCTTTATAAACTTTAAGCAAAACTATTTACCTATTAAGTGTGAAAACGAATAACAATGTCAGGAAATAAATAAATAAATGTAGCAACTTGACCTTTTTTACAGCAGAGCTACCACCTGAATCTCCAGCAAAAAAATTAAATTCCAGTCAAATATGTCCATGGTTGGCAACAATGAATTTAAAAATCGCGCCCTCGATTACGTAACTAAAAGTTTAATTGGCATGGCTTATATGTATATATACCGGGTGTTTGGTTTGGACGTGTTTGATTCGCATCATCGGACGGGACATAGTAAATCCCATGTAAATTTTAATGGGGTCAATTATTGACTTCCCTAATTATTTTAGAGAATAATTCTATTTAGGTTTATTGAAGAGCACTAAAACCCACATTCAAAAGAATAACTTTAGATATTTTTGATTAGCTCGTTTACGAGTTATCGCCGATTTCTTTTTTAATATTTCTCCTTTCTTATGGCCCTGTATTTACTTATGAGCACCAGTCAAGGTAAAAGATAACTGTCAAATGAGGTTGTCATTTCAGAAATTTCCCTATTTAATGCTTTATTATTATTGAAAACTCATTCCTACATCGGAAATCTTAAAAATGTATTTATAAATACAAATTAATATGAATTATAGTAAAATAAAGTAATCAATTACAAGGTTAATTATAGTATTATTACAATATTCAATAACTTATTAATTTAGGTACTATTAAATTGTTAGAACTTTAGGATTTAAGAAGATGTTCAAATATTCCTCCATCGACTGCTAGACAATAACCCAGACGATCATAAAATTCTCTTCTTACATTCGCTAGTTGGTAAACTGAAATTCTATTGCATTCGGCAGAAATAGCATTTTTTAACTCGTCTAGATTTGGGTAATTTTTATCCCTGTATATCCTGTTTTTTAAATGGGCCCAGAGAAAGAAATCATTTGGCGAAATATCAGGAGACCTTGCTGGCCAATTCACTGTATGATTTAGGCCAATAACGTTTCCGTTAAAACTATTGTCTAAATATTCCCGAACAGCCAGGGTACTATGTGCCGGGCAGCCATCCATTTGGTACCAAACTTCCTGATTTTCCCTAGCGGCATCATGTAAAGCAGGTAAAATATGATTTTCGAGTAGTTCCAAATAATATTCTGCATTTAAATTTCGCGTAAGAATAGATAATATTGTGTCCGAATATCCCTGCCCAAACATTTACTTTCTGTGGATATTGCGTCCTTGTTTCGACAAACCTGTGTTGGTTTTCTTTGTTCCAATATCGATAATTTTGAACATTGGGTTCATTATTTAAGGTAAACGTGCATTTGTCAGTAAAACATATGTTTTTTAAAAATTCCCTATCCGTGTTTGCTCTTTCCATCATATCAAAACAAAACGCCTGCCGCCGTATTTCGTCCCCATCTCGTAGCTCTTGGTGCTTTTCATATTTGAAGGAATAGTATTTATGTCGTTTCAAAATTCGAAACGCTGTAGTGTGATCTATTCCTATTTCATCCTCAAGTTTCCTTGTGCTGATCTTTCCATCGTTCCACGCACAATAAAACTTCTAAGTCGGTATCATTTCTTGCATCTTCTCTTTGTTCCTGCCTTGCTTCACATCTGCAGTTATTTATTAGGGTACCTTTGGTCTCAAATCTCTGGATATTCCTTGCTATTGTAGATTTCCCAGGTATCGGTCTATTCGGATACAGAGCAGCAAACATGTCCGACACCTTTTAATAACTATTTCCGTGATAATACCATTTAATCATCAATACTTTTTCTTCGGCAGTGTAATTCATGGCTAATATTTTCGATGTAGGTATGAGTTTTTAATAATAATAATAAAGCACTAAATAGATAAATTTCTGAAATGACCACTTTATTTGACAGTTATCTTTTACCTTGACTGATGCTCATAAGTAAATACAGGGCCATAAGAAAGAAGAAATATTTAAAAAGAAATCGGCGATAACTCGTAAACGGGCTAATCAAAAGTATCTAAAGTAATTTTTTTGAATGTGAGTTTTAGTGCTCTTCAATAAACCTAATTAGAATTATTCTCTAAAATAATTAGAGAAGCCAATAATTGACCCCATTAAAATTTACATGGGATTTCCTATGTCCCGCTCGACGATGCAACACCCGGTATATATTCTTTGTATATATTTTAGATTTGCTAACACGATTACAGCACAGTTCAATGGTCATATACATGTAGATCGCTTCCAAGTTTACTACAACGAGTCAAACAAGGATCAAGCAATCAACGTAGCATGGAACGGTGCATCCTTGGCACCTTATGACTATGCTAACCCCAGTTTTAAAATATACACTGTCGATTCTAATACTTTTGTGAGTCATGGCTAAAAATCTGTCCAACGAGAAAATACCTGACAGTAACAGTCTGTCATTTTATTTCACAAGTAAATTGTATTTTCTGGCATTTTTTGGATACCGTTTCTCGAAATATTTTTTAACTCGTTGGCCAGACTTTATACAATAAAAATTGATATGTAAAATAAAAATAAAACTATATATTTTATTATAAGGACATTATGGATATCGAAGAATGGACATTTAATCTTACTTTGGCAAACTTACATCCTGATCAATCACCTGAATGGTACAAAATATACTCATTCAAAGATGCATTTGACTTGCCTGCTTTACAACCTGATGATTTAGGGAATTTGCTCATAAAGATGGCGACTAATCATAGTCTTTTGGCCGACTATCATATGTAAGGCTTTATTTATTTCCTTTAAAATATTTTTTTTAACATTAAAATATATTTTTGTATTTTTTCTTTGCAGTTACAGATACAAGAACTCTGAGAGTGCTGTTGAAGCAGGATGTAATTCTGACTGTCAGAAACGATATCTTTGTCAACTATCAACATACGTAGGCACTGATTCTTCAAAATGTTCATATTTACAAGAACTTTATGATCAAAATTTATAGATAAATGAATTAGATTTAAATAAAATACATTCAAAACAAAATGACATTTTTTCTTTTCAACTTCTACATATATAAAAAATAATACAAATATTAAAAAAATAAAATAGCAGATGGTAAGTGGAAAAAAAATTAAGAAATATTAAATAAATGAAGAAGAAAATCATAAAAAAATTATGATTTTAAAGTAACCAAGCAATATCATTTATATCCAAAAATGAAGTAAAAAGTTTTTGAGGAAATTAATGACATTCAAAAACCATTTTTTTAGGCGATATGGTTAATAAGGGTCACAAAAGAACTTATAAATTTCCACAGAAGGGTTGACTATGGCCGGTCGACTTTAATAAACTTCTCCCGTACCGCCTCTTCGAGTGCCTCTCTTAATTCATAAGTTCTTTTGTAATCCATACCGCCTAAAAAAATCTAAAATGTTAACCATACCGCCTAAAAAAATCTAAAATGGATAGGTCAGGTGATCGAGGAGGCCCATGCAATTGGTTCACCTCTTCCTATCTCCGAGTTTGCATAATTAGGAATGATATAAATAATTTTTAACATTTCTTTCATTATTAGGGGTGTCATAAAGAATAATGAAAGTCATGTTGGAACCATTCTATTGAAGCGTAAGTATCTAAATTTAACTTTTCTAAAAAACGTAAGTAACGTTCACCGATCAACGTATCCTCGAAAATGTATGGCCAAGAAAAGTTAATTTTGTTTATTTTAATTCATAAAATTTGGATGTGACAGTTTCACATCTCTGAGAGCAACGACAATTGAACTTGTTTCCATGGCTAACTAAGTGAAATTGTTTAAAAATTATAAGAATTTGCTATAACTCGCTAAAAAGCTTAAAAAATGGCGCTTTTTATGAAATCATGGCCAACTATGGCTTCCATTTAAAAAACCATATGTTTGTGTCATATGTCAAAAATGACAGACTTTAGAAAAAAACGGAGGACACAATGTCATTAAGAATGTGATTATCTACAACTTTTATCTGAATACTTTTTTATCTATAATAGATTATAATGGAATTAGGGACAATTTTTAAAATAGCCGAAATTTGTTTTTTTCAAAATATCTAGTAAGCCATGAACTTTTTCAAAAATCTGAAAGGCGCATGTTTATGACCCCACAAAAATTCTTTCCCCATTTAACCGACTCTCTATCTCCAGTAGTTTCCGAGATACCCATAGAGAAGATCGTAGGAAACTCACCCTGTACATATACATTTTTTTATAAAAATATGATTGAGATGAACTTAAATACTATTTACAGTTAACAGATGATTTCTTATTAATTAAACAACTCATTTAGTATAATAATTAGCTTTTTATTAAGGCAATAAAAAAAATCCATGATTTAGCTTATCAAACAAAATTAAAGTACTAAATTTTATGATCAGCTTCGGAACTATCGTAAAACTGTTCAGTAGTTTCTCAGACTATGAAAACAGTTATAAAACTGGAATTATACATATTTAAAACCATTATCCAGTAGGTACATCAAATTTTTTAATCTCTGTGAAAAAAACTATTTATAGTAGATACTTATTGTACGATAAAGTAACATTTCTAATAAACACAGTATTTAAAAATAAGAGATTGACTTATAAAATGCATTCTTTTTAGTTACCTACAAAAATAAGGATATTTTCTTATCGAAAAAACATTGTTTTATCAACTTTTCGAGTGCTACTGTAATATTTTTTTCAGAAAATATCAGGCTTATCTTCAAAATTGGGAGATATTTTTTATAAAATATTTAATTTAAAAGGATTTAGTTGAATATTTCATCTACATAATTCAGCAACAAAGTAACATGACAAAATATATATTTTTTACAATTTTTGTAACTACTTTTATAGTTGGTACCTTCTGTAATAATAATGGTAAGTTTTATAATAAAAATGCATTACATTTCTCACCTTCAGCGGCAACTGGTAGAAAATACAAGTTAAAAATAAAATAAATTTTTGATTCTAAACAAAAATAAATATAATCGCAAATTTCAAAATTGTTTTTAATAATAAAAAAATGTTTTTGGTTAGGTTAGGTTGTGTAATATCAAATAAACCTTTAGTCACGTTATTAAGCTTGGCCTTACAAATTTTCTTTTAATCAAAATATTTTAGGAAACAAAAATAAATTAATTATGAATATACAGGGTGGCGCACCTCATTCGCCTCGGTTGATTATACGAAAACGGAAAGATGTAGAAACAAAATATTCTATGGGTACATGTGGGGAGGGAATGTACACAATTTAAAATTATTTTGAAATGTACAGGGTGTTTCAGAACTATGATCCATTCCAAAATTATATTTTTTCTTATGGAACACCAGGTATTTTATTTCATTTTTGTATTCTTGGGCCCAAAAAAGGTATTTATTATAAGGGTTAAATATGTTTAAAATCTTTGGTTTTTGAGATATTTAAGTATATTTAAAAATGCATACTACGTTAGAATAGATTATTAACACCCTGTACTTTGCTTTTCAGAACTAATTCCTGTGCTGACTTTTAAGCCAGAGAAATAAACTTTACTGAAAGCTAGCTTACTTTGCTTGGTTTAATGTATATATCATTGGTTTAATATATACTCAAAAATTGCTGGACTATTATAAATATTTATTTTACATAAAAACTTCGTTATTTCAAATACAACACCCCGTATTTTTTAAAATAAATCGAAGCAAATTCAAATGCTCTTTCAAACTATATTAGGGTTTCCTATATCTATCTAGCTCATATTTTGAATAAAAAGCGATTTTTCAATAAAGTGACAATCAAGATGGCTGGTGTCGCCATGGCAATTTTCTAGTTAAAGTTAGTAACTCTTTTCAAAATCGACATTAGTTTATGGATATTATTATTTAGAGAATTTACTTAAATTTAGCTACAATAGTTTAAGAAGTAAGTATTCATTATTTTATCAAGAAAAATAAAGCAGTATCTGCTGGCGGAACGAATGGATATGTTACTAGTGATTTTATTTTGTGAGGAAAATTGCTTCTTGGCCTCAGGATTTATGCTCAAAGATATCCAAATAGGAATCTTCCTGATAAGCGTTCCTTGAAAAAATACTTTTCTATTTCGCAGAGCTATTATATGGTAGTGTGGTTTATAAAAAAACTATTAGGCAGAAACCTGTCGTTGGAAGTAAAGAAAATGAATTTGCCGTAATTGGCTGTTTTATAGAAAATCCATATTAAAATTAATCTATCAGTGATCGTAAAATAAATGAAAGAACCACTTCTTCGATTATCTTCATAGAATAATAAATACATATTTAATAAATATTATTTATTAAACTGCTGTAGGCAAATTAAATAAAAGTAAACTAGTATAAATTTAAAGAAAGTCCATAAACTAATTTCGATTTTGAAAATAGCTACTGTCACTAGAAACTTGATATCAGCCATCTTGGTTGCCATTTTATTGAAAAATCGCTTTTTATTCAAAATCTGAGCTAGATAGGTATAGGAAACCCTAATATAGTTTGAATATAAGCATTTGAATCTGCTTCGATTTATTTTAAAAAATACATGGTGTTGTATTTGAAATAACGATGTTTTTATGTAAAATAAATATTTATAATAGACCAGCAATTTTTGACACCCCTGTATACATTAAACGAAGCAATCAAATTTTTGAGTAAAGTTTATTCTCTGGCTTAAAAAGCAGCACAGGAATTAGTTCTGAAAAGCAAAGTACAGGATGTTAATAATATATTCTAATGTAGCATGCATTTTTTAATATCTTTAAATATCTCAAAAACCAAAGATTTTATACATATTTAACCCTTATAATAAATACCATTTTTTGGGCCCAAAAATACAAAAATGAAATAAAATACAGGGCATTCCATAAGAAAAAATATAACTTTGGTATAGATCTTAGTTCTGAAACACCCTGTACATTTCAAAATAATTTTAAATTGTGCACATTACCTCCCCACATATACTCATAAAATATTTTGTTTCTACATCTTTCCGTTTTCGTATAAGCAACCGAGGCGAATGAAGTGCGCCACCCTGTATAAACAGTTATTATTTACATCAACAAAACTCACCTTCTTAACAGCTCTTAAGGGACATAAAGGGACATTACTACCGCTTTCCCGTTCAAAATATTCTGATGTTGCGATGAGTATTTACGGCTATTAAGCTATCTTGTACACTTCGCACTAAAAGAGGTTCTAAAAAGAACAATGTTCGACTTCAAGGTCTGCTAGTTAACATTTTTAAGCTTAAAGTATCACAAAACTATTTATTAAGTGTCAAAACAAATGACAATCTCAAGAAATAAATAAATAAGTGTGTCAAGTTGACATTTTTTACAGCACAGCTACCACCTGAATCCCCAGCGGGGGAATATGTCCATTGATGGCAACAATGAATTTAAAAATGGCGCCCTCAATTACGTAACTAAAAGTTTAATTGGTATCTACTATAGATGGAAATTCTACCAGCCACCGCTGTATCTTGTTGTTGTATTTTATTATAAATAAATTAAAAATATAGCATTATATAATTATCTTTAGAGAAACAGAAATACCAAGATGGGCTAAAAGAATTTCAAACCTCGCGAATTATATCACCGAAATATAATGAAACACTTCATCAGCTTGAACTCTGGAACTCCGCTGGCCAACTGAAAGGTTAGTTTTGTATCTAATTTACTAGAGTACTTAATGAAAGTAAGTAGTCTAATACTAATCTATTAAGAAACAGAATAAAGTTGTGGTACTTAATTTGATTCTTTGTGCGATTTGTTAGACTTTCGTGAGCAAGTCGTTAAAAATAGTTTCATGGAATTTAAAAGCTAAAATAACTTACTGAGTTGATTATTTAACTGTCATCTTATTTTTTTTAAACCAGTACCGTAAAATGGGGTGAATAGAAACAGTTTCGTAGGCTATTAGCGATATACCGGTTGATAAAAATGTGGTATTATTTTCCCGAATATTTTAAAACATGGGTCTTTGTTTGTTCTTTGCGTATACATATAATTTGATTTTTGAAAAATATGCATATAAATATTAAATAAAAATAACATTTGTGTTTCTATTCACCTGCTATTGGGGAGAATAGAAACACACATTGATGTTTAGGTTTTTATCTATTCTATTTCCAACAAGGTAATTAGAAACAGTAAATTATTACATATTTAAGTAGGTTTAACAATAAATAACAATACATATAATATGACAACTTACATGTACCAGCTTATGTATTACTTTAAAAATAAATATTTTATTTATAAAGTTTTCGCGCCATACAAAATAGGTGATAAATCGATCTCACATTTATTGATCAGCTGATTGACAGAAACAGTGCTGCCACAGATAAAAATATAGTTTTTACATTTTATTGTGTATTACCAATGATAGAAAAATTAGATATGTCGACTCTTTTTACTTTGAATATTTTTAATCGTGATTTGATTTTTTTCAGAAATTTTGTTTCTATTCACCACTATGTTTCTATTCACCCCATTTTACGGTACCTTTATTATCTCTTTGCAGTACATCTATTATTTACCTATCCCGTGATGTCGATATTTTACAGCTACTTCAGTTTTTAGTACCATATACGAAATGATATACATAACTTTATTGGCGGCTATTGGTGGCTGTTCAAACCACTTCAAAATTAACAATTACTTAATAAGGTAAAACCAAAAAAACCCAAACTTTCTGTATGATTATTTTTAATTTTTACGTATGTTATGTTTATTTATGATATGTTCTTTAAAACCAAAGAAGCGATTGCCATACATTACTAACATCTACAGATGCATGAGCAATACATTTATTAGATTGTATTAAAAAAAAACCTCTTTTATTTTTCTTTCAGAGGCTATCGCTTCTTTCATTATAATTTTGGCGTTATTAAAATTTATTCAGTGCCCTGTGTCCCATGAATTCTGACAAATCATAGATTTCTGAAAATCTCCCTTTCTTAAATAATCTCTATGTTCTTTAATGTTTTTTTTTCTGACATCGTCTGTCAAAATCTGAATAATAAAACAGAGTATACATGTCTATGATAATTACATTTTTCAAAAAATAACTACATATTTCCATTTTTTCTTCCAGTAGCATTGATATAAATTCGAATAAAAAAATCACTAAAATTTCTGTCTTATCGATCTGAAATCTACTAACCCTAACTTTTGGGCATAATAAAATATCCTTTTTCATTATAAACCACAATAATCAAATATGAATTTTGGAACTGTTTCAGGCAGCCTAATGTGCGAACTGTGCTACGTGGCTGCCAACGTTATTATTAGCGAGTTTCGAGCCAACTGGTCCATAGATGTTATAACGCTGGAAGCTGCCGGAGTTTGTACACTGCTCGGCATAGAAACGGGGGTAGTGTGCAGGGGTGTAATCGACAGAAATATCGTAAGTCGAGGCGTGGTGCCAATAGGTCGTAAGTTTTCGCTAAAATAATGCGCTTTTCCAGGACATTTTCGAATATATTATCAAGGAAAACCCGGATTTGAAAGCTGAGAGGGCGTGCGACATAATCCTGCAGAACGATGGTTGTAATAAAACAACCTTCGAATGGACTGTAGCGATACCGGATGGTGAAACAGTGCAAAGGAAGGTAAGGGTATATATTTGCATCGCATCCAAACCATTTTCATTTATAGTCCAGGATATACCCTGCTGGCAAGCAAAACCTTGGGTCGGCGTTTAAATGTATATAGGAGTGAATCGCTATGGCAATCTAGTAAGTCGGAGAGAGCAAAAATACGAAGTATTTATTACATAACCACTTAATCTGAGCTAGATTCCAGGCGCTTGGAAAAATACTGCAATGATCGAGAAAAAACGGCGTCCAGTTGGCTGGAAAATGACGATCGGTGACATCTCCCATATAAATTTACATATAAAATGACAGCGATCTTCATTTCATAGCCATCGCTGACGGTAGATCATACGGTACTTGCCTTCTGTCTTTATTCAGTACATATTGTTGTGCTAAGCGTGTTGACCGTACTCTTCGTACACACAAAAATCGGCACCCATGACAAGAAATGCCAGCCCTAGGATGAGAAGGTATTCACGGAAAAATTTTATTGATGACGCTCCCGGCCTTTTCTTTAGTTGCGACCATTCTAGCAAGCGCCTTAAGGCTCTGACGTAATAATCTCATACGTCGTCGAAGAAAGGCGGACTATCGACTGGCGTCTACATCCCACTAGTGTACTCGGGCACCCAACAATGTTTCCAAGTACTAGATCTTAATTTTTACTGCAATCTATTCAAAGTGAACGTTAGACAAATCATCTAGAAATATTATTACTATTTTTTTACATTACAACCCGCAGTTGCGCATGCGCAGAAACGATACTCGGTTGGGTATTTTGCGTGTAATCTAAACAAAAAAGGCCCTAAAAAGCCTACGGCGTATTTTGATTGCTATTACCGGCAGCTGCAAAAAAAATAATTTTCAATTTCTTTAATTGAACGCCCTGTATATTATTGCATTTTTGGCTTCATTTCAGATCACTATACATAATCCTAAGATATGAGTAAATATATTTCGATAGTTCCAGAGATATTAATAAATAAATTAAAAAAAATATATTTTTCAGCCTTTCTTAAAAAAAATATTAAAAATACAAGAACCTGTCCTGAAATCAAAACTATATCAGGTATTTACTTTTGATGGTCTGTACTTACTTTGCTATAAATATGATAATCGTAAATTATATAGGGTGTTCAAAATTCTACGCCAAACTTTCTAAAATATGAAATAAATTTTCTTCATTGTTTTTTAAACGAAACACCCTGGATATTATTTTTTTCAATAGATGGATAATTAAAAAATTAACATTTTTTGTTTTTAGATTATTTCAAAATTTTTAATGGTTTTGCAAATATTCGCGGTTTTATATTTTATATGGCATTTTTCATAGTAAATTTTTATCAAAGCCACCCATTGATTTTTCTCTCGTACTTATTTTACCGTTGAAAGATCCATATAAAATAATACAGCGTGTATCTGCGAAACCATTAAAATTTTTAAAATACTTTAAATACAAAAAATGTTAATTTTTTCTCTTCACCTAGTAAAAGAATAATATATTAGGTGTTCCTTAAAGTAGAATTATATCATATTTTAGAAAGATTGGCGTAGAATTTTGAACACCCTATATGATTTAAGATTAGGATATTTATAGCAAATTAATTATAGACCATCTAAAGTAAATACTTAATATAGTTTTGATTTCACGACACTTCTTGAATTTGTAATTTTTTAAAGAATGTTGCAAGTTATATATAAATTTTATTTATTTATTAATATCTCTGAAACTGTCGAAATATATTTGCTCATATCTAAGGATTATGTAAAGTCATTTGAAACGAAGCCTAAAGTGCAATAACATACAGAGTGTTCCATTTTAAAAAAATCATCCCGATCCACTCATACTTTTTTGAGCCACCCTATAGAAGTTAAAATATTTTCCTCAAATATAGCCTCGTACATATCGTAGGTTTACACTTAAACAAAATTGTTTTGTTTAAGTGCTCTAAAAAAGTTTTTTAGAGCCACTACAATTTTGACAGATTTCCCGTTTTGGCTTATGAGTAGAAAAAAATTAAATTCAATTCGTCACATCACGTTTTAGGCTCCAAGTAGTCCAGAAAGTAGTTTCAACATACTCCATATATCCGATATTCATTACGACCCCCTGTACACTGAAGGAAAGAACAAAAATTGCGACGAACCGCTCTGCTGTCAAAGCGATCAAGAGGATGGCAGCAAAGAGGAGGGAACAGCTTGTGGATATTGGTCGGAATACGAAAAAGCTGACACATCGGACGCTTTGATAGACGAGGCTATTAGAAAAGCTGCAGAAACGGTAAAAATGTCTAAAATATAGTTTTAATATCTTCAGTCTATACATGTGAAACGAATATACACTCAGATGCAAAAAAAACGCAAAGGAAAAAATTTTGTCAAGTTTAAATTATTACATTTTTTTATTTTTATCCCTATTTTCTTGATTTTTTTTTAGCAAACTGTATATAAATATATCAACTTTAATTCTTAAACTCAGATTATTATAAACTATAATATTTGACTATTATACAGGGTTAATCGAAGAGTTGTTTTATATCCTACCTTTAAAACACCCTGTACAATAATTTTGTTAGCAAATTTTCCTAAAATATGTATTACTTTTCGGTCAGAACCATGTCTCCTGAATATTTTGTTTTTTAACTAATGTCAACCCATGCCTTGGTAAATTTTTAAGAGCAAAATGACCTTGCCACAAACCAGGGTTGGCGTGATTTAAATCAAATGATTTAAATCATGATTTAAATCGTGATTTAAATCAAGTGATTTTTTTTAATTTTAATCCTTGATTTAAATCAAAAAATAATATATTAAAACTTTATTATAAATCAAAAAATAACTGCAAAAGTTATAAAAATGTGTCCTAGAAAACTATAAAAAATATTTCTATAAAAGATATAACAGATAATAAATCGAAAAGCAATCGTAAATGTTATAAAACTATATGAAAATATCTATTCGTCAATTTAAATATTGGGCCGATTTTTGAAGTAATTTCGTTTAAATCCATTAGACCGCTAAACGCAGGGATTTATTCGAATACATATCATTTGCAGTCTAGCGCAGAACTAGGTTCTTCTGATATAGAGACTATATCTTCATTCCCGAGAATCTATAATAATAATCGTTGTCAGGAAATATGTTGTTTTATATATATTTTTTTTGAAATGGTTGTATCTTTCCAAATTCTTACCGACCGACATTGTGATCTGCAGTAAGTATTTTACACTTTGACTAATACTAATTTCAGTCTCGACTTAACAGTATTTCCGAACAATAATGTATTGTTTTATTAGGAGTAAAAATTATACGTTTTTTGATGATGCTGTACCTTTGAAGGACCATTAGAATTTTTTAGAATTTAGAATGAGTGGGAGGGGGGTTAATCACTGCGACCTTACAGATCTATTGTGTCCCCCTTTCTTGAGTTGAATTGACTCATCATACAGTCCCAGGGCTTTGACAAAAGCCAGTATCTGGGACGGTTTTATAGAGGGTAGTTCTCCATCTCCAATATCAATCGTACCAAAGTTCATGGCACCAATGGTTGTCGTCTCGGCGCACTCAGTGATGAAGTGTACTGGTGTTTCCCCATTTTCACCACAGAATCTGCATTCGCCGTTTCTTCTTAGTTTCAGTCTACTGAGGTGTTCATTGAGGAGACAGTGTCCTGTTAAAAACCCCGTGACAATCCGAAGATTGTTCTTACTTAAACCCAGGAAGATCTGGTATTTTTCTTGATTGTAAGCCATCAGAAACTTCTTCGAGTGTCTTAGACCGTTGCAAGATTCCCATTCCAGGTTGCGGATGGAATCTTCCAAGTTCTTGAGTTCCGCCTTGAGTTGGTTACCACTTGGAAAGCAGAACGGTTCCGGTCCAGTTAGTGGAGTGTTCGCTCCTTTTCTAGCTAGATCATTTGCTTTTTCATTGCCTTCTATCCCTTGGTGAGCAGACACCCAGAGTAGGAGGACTTTTTTTTCTTTGCCTAATTTATTCAGCTTCTCTATGCATTCTTTGACCAATTTCGAATTGATTGATACTGAGTTGATCGCTTTTAACGCTGCTTGACTATCAGATAAGATGGCTATTTCTTGTTTCCGATAGTTCCTATCTAAGATAAGTTGTTCGCATCTTTCGATAGCGTAGATTTCTGCCTGTAAGATGCTAGGGTAAATGCCCATTGGTTCGGAGTATTTAGTTATCGACCCAAACACTCCGATCCCTGTTCCCGTATTGGTTTTGGAAGCATCAGTATACCAAGTTATGGTATGGTCTTTTAACTGCTGTGCAGACGTTTCTCTCTTCCAATCCTTTTTATTGCTCAATACTACATTGAGATGTTTCTCAAAGTTGTACGTTCTTGGCATATCGTCCACTGGGAGTTGCAGGAGTGGTATTTCCTTTTGAGGGTGTTCCAAGCCACTGATCTGACAATTCTCCCACTACTGATTCCGTTAGTAACCATTCTAATCATTGTCGCATTGGTATATCTACTAATGACAATGTGGTGTTAGGTCTAGAATGACCTCCATTGCTGCTGTTGGACAGGTTCTCATGGCTCCTGTGATTTGAAGGACCATCGTAAAGCTATTCCGACGTTACAAGGAAGCACAAAAAGGACTTTTTTACTCCTAATAGAGCATACATACTATTTTTTTAAAACATATACAAATCATTTTTAATCAATTGCAAATATTGCAAATAATATAATTGAATTTGACACTTAATATCAGTTTAATAATATATTTTTGTACTTTTGTGCGTAACAGTGCTTTACCTTTATACCTAGGCGTTAAAATGACAAAAATTAATACTTTTGAGACGTTTGAAAAAAAAATCGTTTTGATCTGACGCTCGCTTCAGATCAAAACGATTTTTTTGCGAAATATATTGGTGACCGATGTGGAAAAATGGCAGAGTTATAAAGATTTAGCCATTTAGGATAGGACTTTAATTGGAAATAAGTCCTAGTCATTTGGAAATCCGATTTAAATATTGTTTTGAATTAAAATCAAAAAAATCTGATTTAATTAAAAAAAATCTGATTTAAATCAAATAAATCTGATTTTTTTTTTATTTTTTCTAACCCTACCACAAACCTATTACAATTATTTCAATTATCGTTAATTTTTGATGTTTTTGTACACTTAGTTATTACAGTTATTTTTGTTAATATCCTTAGATCTGTTACTGTTACTAATATTTATTAAAACGAGAGAAGCCTGTATCGTTAATTTTTAACGTTTTTTAAATTTGAATATAGAGTTCAAGTCAGTGTCGATATAACATTATGACAATAGTGACCAAAGCCACCTCGTGATATTAAAAAATAGCATCATAAATCAATGATAGTTGAAAAAATTGCAAATTATTGGTGGCAAGTTCATTACGCTCTTAAAAATTAACCCAGGCATTTATTGGTATGAGTCAAAGAACAAAATGCTTAGGAGACATGCTTCTATTTGAAAAGTAATATTTTAGGAAAAGTTAATAACGAAATTATTGTACAGACTGTTTTAAAGTTAGAAAAGCAACCCTTCAATTAACTCTGTATAATAAGCCATATACCAAAGTTTATAAAAAACTGAGTTTATGAATTAATGTTGATAGGTTCAAATACAGTAGGCCAAAAAATTCATGAAGATAGAACTAAAAGTAAGAACAATATACATAATACTTTAAACTTGACGAAAAAATTTTCCGTTGGGTTTTTTTGCCTCTGAGTATATTTGAAATAACTATATTTTATTCAGGAGTACGAATACGTTTATTTTACTGGTGATGCCATCAGCCACAGAGTTTGGGCTACATCAATCGAAGACAACACCAAAAGCATGAAAAGTTTATTTGGAAAAATGAAGACGGCTTTTCCAAATATTCCTATTTATCCTTGTTTAGGGAATCACGAACCATCGCCATTAAATGAGTAAGCTATTTTTATTTAAATACCAAAAGAAGTGTTTTCCAAAGTGGATCACACGTATAACTTTTTTAATTTTTTAAAGAAAAAAACGACAATTACAGTGCTAGATGTGTCTGTCATTTTAATTTCAAAGTAGTTATTTGTGAGTTAAGAGCTTTTTAACTCACGCATTTTCATTACCGCACTCCTTGTTTAGATGACTACCAAAGAGAAAAAAATATTTTGTAAAACATTTTTTATTTTGCACTAAATAGGTACCTACTAAATACAAATAACTGTTCTATTGATAATAATAATTATAAAAATATGAAAACTTATTTATTATAAATGTTAATGATACAGTTTGAACAATCTTTCAAGTAAATGCCCGATGAAGCATATATATTCATTTTAATAGATATCATAGTACGTATCATTGAATAGAAAGCCCAAGGAGACGAAGGCTTATAAGTAGCGGATAATTTGGAAAAATATGTTATGAGTACCTTTTCATTTCCATAGTTGTGTACTTTTTTTCGGTGCACCATTTTTCATACTTAGAGCTGTGCTTAGAGCACACTTAGAGTATGTATATTCATACTTCTGTTTCGATCTTGCTGGAAGCAATCCAGAAATGGCTCTGAATACTTCTTCAATGTCAGAGGGAATACTTTCCGAATCGCTCATTTTTTAAACTAGTGACATCAATATTATTTACTGTCATATATTGACATTGCATAAGGTAATTGATTTTTAGGATAGGTATACAGGGTGCTACAAATTCGAAGTACGAGCATTGGTATCTCGGAAACCGTAATAGATACGAAGATGGTTAAATTGGGGCAAAGTTGCGCCTTGGGAAGTTCACCGAGATGCTATCAAAAAAGTTTTTAAAATTTCAAGGATTGCTGAGTTTTTTGGAAAAAACTGATTTTTTCGAAAATCAATTTTATTTTTTCCTGTCGTTACTTTTTAGAAAATCAAAAAACTAATTGCATATTCTCATAGCCACTTTATTAGGGCTTTATTACTTTACCACTTTATTATTTTTAGATTTTCAAATTAGCTGATAATTTGTAAGATACAGAGGCCAACTTAATTTTTTTAAATACGGACCTGCATTTTTTATTTCATATTTTGAAAGAACTCGGTCTCCTGAAAGAATAATATGCCACACTTTATGCTTTTTTTTTGTTTTTGATACCTTAACAGCAACAAAACTAATTATTATTTAAAATAAGTCGGACTCTTTCTGGTTTCTTAAATTATTTAATCTGATTATATTCATCGCAACAATATTGATCAGAACTAATTAACATTGAATAAGGAAAATCGAGCCAATTGGAAGATTCAAATAAATAATATCCAGGTCAGAAATTTAAAAATATTATTTTTAACTTTTTTTATTGTGAATTGGAAGTGTGCGATCTAATAATATGCATAATATTACTCGTAGTTATTATAAATAGATCAACTTCTACAAATTAGTTTCTAATGTCCTACATGTTCGAAAGGGTTATCACCCTCCCTATTGCACACATTTATTTTTCGCTCAATTTTATTTATAGCTCTTTGAACTTTCTTTTTATACTTCCGAATGCATTTTGTACTCTTTATTGTAAATGTTAAGATGAATTGATTTCACTTTTACAAATGACATCAAATAATGTAGCCCCTTGGCGATAGGTCCAGGAACCTCGCTGTACATTATACTGCTCTACCATTTCCAATCCATCTTCCGAGAAATTGATTTGATTGTTTATATTATATTATTATATTTATATTAATTATTTTATTCCATTTGATTTTCCGTATTCAATGTTTTGCCCCACGTCATTGTTAAGTTTGAAAGCTTATAATATTGTAACGAGGAGTAAATTAAATATTAAAAGAAAACAGAGCCGGACTTGAAATTAGTTTAAATAAGTTATGTTCAAATGTCAAAACAAAAAAAAATTAAGTGTGGCATATCATTATGCTCAGGTGACCGAGTTCTTTCAAAATCTGAAATAAAATATGCAGGTCCGTATTTAAAAAAATTAAGTTCGCCTCTGTATCTCAAAAATTATCAGCTAATTTGAAAATCTAAAAATACTTTCGGATAGCCCTAATAAAGTGGCTATGAGAATGTGCAATTAGTTTTTTGATTTTCTAAAAAGTAACGACGGGAAAAAATTAAATTGATTTTCAAAAAAATCATTTTTTTCCAAAAAACTCAGCAATCCTTGAAATTTTTAAAACTTTCTTGGTGGCATCTTGGTGAACATCCCAAAGCGCAACTTTGCCCCTATTTAGCCATGTTCGTATCTATTACGGTTAACGAGATATCAATGCTCGTACCTCGAATTTGTAGCACCCTGTATAGTTAAGTACTACAATAATTTTTAAAATTCATTGTGTGTTTTTATAGTTAAACGTAGATAAAATATTGTACAATACACCCAATTTAACTCCATTAAGATACTTGTGCAACTTTCACACGCGTATCTTAATGATGCTGTTAACTCACTTGTATCGTAAATATCTATTAAAATTTGAGTGATGAGTGATTACTTCAAAACCTGTAAAAAACTTAATAAAAGTGAAAAAATCTAATCGAGTCATTTTTTTAACTGCAGTCTGTGTTAATACAAAATAAACAAGGATGTATTTTAAAATTTTGTTGAAACAAAACACCGCATAGGTACCAAAAAAGATATTATAAAAAGAACTATGTATTTCTTACTATCAAACTTCAAGAAACTTCCTGCAATTATTATTATATTTTATTTCCATCAACGTTTTTATTTAAAGATATGCTATAACAAATGAAAACGAAACGTTGAACGATAATTTATCAAACCAATGGCTGTATCGTCTGATTACCACCGAATTTTCTGAATGGTTAACGGAGGAAGCCAGTAGTACCATAATGCTTGGTGGTTTTTACACTGTATCACCTAAAGATGGTTTCAGGATTATTGTAGTCAACAGTAATGTAGCATATACGATGAATTGGTAAGTTTAATCTAAGTGGTAGACAAGCTATGTCAAACTTTCATTGTCTTTATATTTAGGAAAATCTACTTTTTTCGATTTCCTTTATATTTTTACTCACCCTATTTGAAAAGATATAAGCTCTACTTTTCTTGCTCTACAACTGGATGTTATTATATTTTCAATCTGATTTTTTGTTTCCGAGATACCATCAACTTTAATTTTTAAATACAGATCTATATTTTTATATACAGGGTGGTCCGAATTGTATTCCGGAATCTTCGGCGGCATATTCTGCAGATAAAAATAAGTAAAAAAGTTCGTAATGTATGTCCTAAAATGTTTAGTTTCGGAGATACAGGGTGTAGAAATTTCATTTTCGTTTCCATTTTTTTCAAATAATTTATGAAGTAACGTATATATTTGGATAAAAATTACGACATTTTTTACGTAAAAAGGTCTCTTGGTAAATATCGCTAGGAGTAATGGTTTTTGAGATATTTTGAATCGAAATTATCAATACCTGTCATCATTGACATAAATTAAACATGTTGACTAAATAATAGACTGAAATCATAAATTGGAAATGTTTTTGTACCAAAAGTTCAACACAAACTGTTTTATCTTCATTTTTTCGAAGAAAAATTTATGATTAATTTAAAAAAAAATAAAAAGTCAATTAAATATTTTGAGAACGGTTGCTCGTAGCGATTTTTATCAAAAGACATTTTTTACGTAAAATGTCACAGAAATGTATATTTTTTCACTTAGTACTTTTATACAGGTACGGACGAAAATTTATTACACTTTAAAACAGTTAAAAAACGTGTAGGTAGCGCCCCCTACAAATAGAAGTCATATTGACATGAAAATTAAATTTCTCATGCCAAAAAACTCCCTGACACCAATTTTCATTCAAATATTGATGTTACTTCAGAAATTGTTTGGAAAAAATCGAAATAAAAATAAAACTTTTACACCCTGTATCTCCGAAACTAGGCATTTTAGAACATACGTACTTTTTTACTTATTTTTATCTGCAGAATATGCTGCCGAAATTTCCGGAATGCAGTTCGGATCACCCTGTATATCACTTTCCAAATGCAATGATGTAGCAAATCTAAAAAATACCATTACTTCCGAAAATGTTTGGGAAAATAGAACTTACCAGATGTTTTTTATACAGGGTGAGTCTTAAATGAGTGCAAATATTTTTAGGGATTGGTATAATTCGACCCCAGAAACACGATTATGAAGTGTTTAGTTAAAAAACATAATTTTTTGATTATATGGCAACATTGGTAGTAAATTAGAAGGAAACCCAGAAAAGATCTAGTGTTTCTCAAAATTTAATCAAAAAATATATTTTTTTTCATTTTCAAAGTAAAAGGACCTAAGTTATTTTCAATTTATTTGAAAAATGGTAAAGAGAAGATATGTTTCTTTTATCGATACCTATCAGCTCTGAAAATATTTGCACTTATTTAAGACTCACCCTGTATAACTCCTTTCATTCTATTTCAATTAACATATTTTGATTTTAAAATACGTACTAATTCTTTGTTCCAGTTCTAAGTAGAATATTGGCACAGCATGTACAGTAGTGACATATTTATAAGTAATGTATGTTAAATTTAATGTACTAAAAATGTATGTATTATTAAGGTGGCTGATACATAATGATACTGATCCCTTTGGCCAGCTAGCTTGGTTAGCTGAGACGCTGAAAGCCGCAGAGGATGCCCAAGAAGTTGTGCATATATTATCGCATATTCCCAGTGGAAAATCTGATCTGTTGAAAGTTTGGAGTAGAGAATACCGAAAAATAATTGAAAGGTTAGTTAGCTATATATAAAATTTAAATAACAACCGTATATTTTTTTTAAATTGTCTAAAATATAGACTAGTAAAACAGCCAACTCAGTACCAGTCGACCAACTTATGGTCTTTTTATTTATGATCCTACCTAAACCACAGCCTATTAATTTGACAGCCGGTCGACTTGAGGAATGATTGAACTCTGCGTATCTACTAGATATTCGCTTTTCTTATGTAACAAGTTGAATTCTAATCTCCAGTGAAGCTCTGTTTATAAAAACTATCGAGACTAGAGCTCTGACATGTGCTTACTGGCTTACTTACTGTCATTACTCGCTGACGAGTATTTGTCACGCATCAGAAGATGGTTACGCAAGGCGTTTTCTTTCATAAGCTTTTCTGTGACTGAAAAGTCCAATGATGTTATTTCTCTTCAGCAGTCCGGACATTTAAAAATCTCATTACTTTGTTGCCTCTTTACTTTTTAGTTGTCGTTGTTAACTGAGTTTACAATTAGTCTCCATTGCGTTTTATTGTGCGCTGCTTTCTCCCACTGATTCTGCTGCTTATCCCGTTAAGTTTTCGTGGAAAATATCATTGTACCTTATAAGTTGTCCACACGGTTTCATCTTATCGTCTACAAGCTCACCGTAAAAAAGAGATTTCGGTAGGCGGTTTTTGGGATTGCATCCTGCATACGTGACCAGCCCTTCTTAAGCGGGATTTTGTAATCATAATTTCAGCACTCTCGCAGCGAGCTTTTTCAAGGACCGATAACAAGTAGTTCCTTACGAAAATACAGCTAAATATCTTGGCATGACACTTGATGCTAAACTCAGGTGGAAATCGCATGTAAATAAAAAATGTAAAAAACTCAAATTAAAGTACAGGAAAATGTACTGGTTACTAGGGAGACATTCAACCCTGTCAATATATAATAAGCTTTTGCTTTATCATCAAGTCCTGAAGCCAATATGGACTTATGGTATTCAAACTTTGGGGATATACCAAACAAAGCAACCGAAATATTATCCAAAGATTCCAAAATAAGGTACTACGAGGTATTGCTAACGCACCGTGGTATATTCGCAATGGCAATCTACATAAGGACTTGAGAAGTGAATAATGTCAACAACGTTATCAGAAAATATGCCTTAAGACATGAAGAGAGGCTTCATCATCACATCAACATCGAGGCCCACCAGCTCCTGCATAGTGATATAGCTTAGTTAGAAGACTGAAAAGAACAAAACCATTTGAACTAGTGTAGTGAAAAGTGTTACTACAGCCCCTACAGCCCCAGTGCATTCTAACATAGTGTTCCAACATAACTGACAGAACCAAAATTACTATCATAGGATTAGTGTTTTGCATTTAACCGTAGCAAATTAAGTCAAAAATAAATAGCTTAATAGGTGATTAAAAAAACTCTTTTTTTCTACTGACTACTCGCATATGAAGGAAAATAGGCGCAGTAAGTGACGCACGGTCTCTAGATCACACAAAGATACTAAATATTCTGTGCTAGTAATAAGTACAGAAATACAGTATTTATTATGACGAAAGTAAATAAATTTAGTATATAACACAAATAAGGATAGCTAGAAATCACGTTTCTAAAATTTCACAGTTTTTATAGTGTTTGAAGTGTCTATTTCCTATGCGGCGATACGCCTAACGACATTGTTTTATTACTACTCGAAAATTTATCGCATTTTTTTCACTAATTACAAGCTACCTATTATCTAATCTAAACAATTGATTTAATATATTTAGGTACTACGATATCCGATCGATAAATTTATTTCTGTACCGAAAATCTTTTGTTTCATGAGTTATCTTATTTAGAAATTGCATAGCCAAATAATTTTTCTGTTTTAATTTCTTAAGTTAACTTTTAAAGACGATCCTACCATACGATCGAAAAAACGGCGTCGCAGTATTCTTTGAAATAAAAAACCGTGATAATTTTTGTCGGGCTTACCCCTATACGTCCTTTATTAAATGTTAACGTAGAAACTTGTCAAACATTATTATTTAATTGAAAAAGAAAAAAAAAGTCTTTTGAGTAAAATTATTTTTTTAAAATTTGTTCGTATTTATAACTTTTTGCTTTGTTCCTGAAATAAATATTGTTTTTTTATGCCAATTTTTAATAAATGACGGACCTGTCTGACAAAAATAGGTGTTATTCCAAAATGTTCGCCAGGTGTTATTTCAAAGACCATACTGACGGCTGTTTCTTGAAATTTTCATTTTTTGTATTTAAAGCATTTCAAAATTTGTAATGGTTTGGCAGATACACGCAGTATTATTTCATATAGCTCTTTCAACGGTAAAATACTTTATAATTATAAAACCACGAATATCTGCGAAACTGTTAAAAATTTTGAAATACTCTAAATACAAAAAATGTCCATTTTTTAATTCTCCATCTATTGAAAAAAATAATATAAGGGTGTTCCAATTAAAAAAAACGAAGAAAAATTATGTTATATTTTAGAAAGTATGGCGTAGAATTTTGAACATCCTGTATGATATACGATTACCATATTTATAGCAAAGTTAAGCTATAGATCTAATGTAAATATCTAATACAGTTTTGCTTTCATAACACTTTTTGTATTTTTAATATTTTTTTAAGAAAAGCTGAAAAATATATATTTTTTATACAGGGTGGTCCGAACTGGATTCCGGAAACTTCGGTAGCATATTTTACTGATAAAAATAAGTAAAAAAGTTCATATAAATATATGTCCTAAAATGCTTAGTTTCGGAGATACAGGGTTTAGAAGTTTCATTTTTATTTGGATTTTTTACAAATAATTTCTGAAGTAACGTTAATATTTGGATGAAAATTGGTGTGTGGGAGTTTTTTGACATGAGAAATTGTATTTTGATGTCAATAGGACTCCTATTTGTAGGGGGCGCCACCTACATGTGTTTTAACTGTTTTGAAGAGTAATAACTTTTTTTCCGTACCTGTATAAAATTACTGAGTAAAAAAATATACATTTTTGTGATTTTCTACGTAAAAAATGTCCCTTGGTAAAAATCGCTACGAGCAACCGTTCTCAAGATATTTACAATTAAAATAGTCAATACATGTCATTATTGATTAAAAATAAACATATTATGTTGAGTAGATAGTTATTTGACTGAAATGAGAAATTTGGGAACTTTTTATTTTTTTAAATTATTCATAAATTTTTCTTCTAAAGAATGATGATAAAACAGTTTCTGTTACACTTTTGACACAAAAACATTTCAAATATATGATTTTAATAAGTCTAATAACTAATTAGTCAACATGTTTAATAATTTATGTCAATGATGACAGGTATTGGTAACTTCAATTCCAAATATCTCGAGAACCGTTACTCGTAGCGATTTTTACCAAGAGACCTTTTTTACGTGAAAAACGTCTTCAATGTATATTTTTAACTAGCTAGTTTTATACAGGTACGGACGAAAAGTTATTACTCTTCAAATCAGTTAAAAAATACGTAGGTGGCGCCCTCTACAAGTAGGAGTCATATTGATATCAAAATCAATTTTCTCATGTCAAAAACCTCTCAGACACCAATTTTCATTCAAATATTGACGTTACTTCAGAAATTATTTGGAAAAAATCGAAATAAAAATGAAATTTCTACACCCTGTACCTCCGAAACTAAGCATTTTAGGACATACATTTGTATGAACTTTTTTACTTATTTTTATATGCAGAACATGTTGCCGAAGTTTCCGGAATACAGTTCGGACCACCCTGTATATATTCTTCAGCTTTAAAAAATTTTCCTGAAATATATCATGAACATACTCTAGAAGCTACAGATGCCCGATACAATATTGCCGAACCCTGTATATGTATCTTGTAAACGCAAACTTGACATACTATTTAATGAAAAGGCGATTTTTATCGATATTTTCTTTAATAGTAATTACTTGTCTTCTATTTGTACTGCTCCATTAAACTAAAAAAATAGATGAAGCCCTTATCAATTCCGGAAAATAAGGTTTCAAAATAAGTACAAACAGACTTAACCTTATCTTCAATTAAATTAAAGGACATTCAAAATATTTAATGTAGTTGGCTATTATAAAGATTTTAGAAACAAACTCTTAACATTAGAATTACTTATATTATTTGTTACGTAGACAAATTGTTCGATTGCCAAAATATAGTACTTCAAGATATTACTTTACACAGAGAACTATTATTAATTTATGATATGTTTATAATTTTTACAGATTTTCGAATACTATAGCAGCCCAATTCAATGGCCATACCCACCACGACCAATTTATGGTGTATTACAGTTCAAACAACTCCTCAAATGTCATCAATCTTGCTCTAAATGGTGCATCTGTCATGAGTGACAAATCAAATCCGAGCTTTAAGATTTTGAATATTGATAACGATAATTATGTAAGTTCAATAAATAATGCAATTATTGTTGTCAAAATTAAATTACTCACTTACTGGTATCAGTCGCTGACGAGTATTTGACACCCATCAGATGGTTACTCAAGGCGTTTTCTTTCATGAGCTTTTCTGTGGCTGAAAAGGCTGTGAATGGTTCTGCATGCATTCCCTTTATGTTTCAGTGGAAAATATCTAGCTTTTTCAAGGGCCGATACATATGAGACATGGTGGTACCGGCGGTACGGCACTCACTATGAGACCGGCGGTACGGCACTCAGGTTTCGCTTCCATATAACATGGTGGGGATTATTATTGCTCGGTACATTGAGGTTTCGTTTTTGTGCTTAATTCATGGTTATAGAGAAATCTGCAGTGGGATTCTGTAAGCTCCGTAGCAAGAAATTTCCTGTCTAGCATATGCTATTTGTATACGATTGATGTCACTAGACAAGAGAAGTGTTTACAGAATCGGGCCTCTGCCTTTTAATTTCCACAATGCTCTTGAAGCGCTGCTAATCCTGTGCTGAATTTCAGAGTCGATATTGGCCTTTTTCGAAATCAAACTGCCGAGGTAATTGAATTCCGCTACATATTTCAATAGTTCTTCTACGATTTTTACAGCATTGCTATGATTTTCCGGGGGAGTGCACATTATTTTTCAGCTTAAGGCTCAAAGCCTCCTATATGTCCAGGTAGATGTGTTCAGCATTTCTTGTAATTGCTGTAACATTTCTGCATTTTACAGAACGCAGTCATCAGCGTAATAACATTTAGTAACCATTATATTTACTTCCATCAAGTGTTTTTTTAGGGTTCCGTACCCAAAGGGTAAAAACGGAAACCCTATTACTAAGACTTCGCTGTCCGTCCGTCTGTCACAAAGGTCTATCTTATGAATCGTTATAGCTAGACAGTTGAAATTTTGACAGATAATGTATCTATGTTGCCGCTATAAGAACAAATACTAAAAACAGAATTAAATAAATGTTTATAAATAAAAAGTACTTTTACTAAACATTATGTATGTATGTAATTGTCTTTATTTCCCACAAAAATAAATACAAGAGCAAGTAATTATCTTTTAAGTAAGAATTTTACATAGAATCTTTCAAGTCCTCGTTGGCCGCTTGGTTTTAAAGCGTTAGAACTTGACGCTGCTATGACGTTGGAGCCGTAGTAAGGCAGGTTCGAATCCCAGTCAAGGCGACTTTTTTTAATTGTTTTTTTTTCTAATTTTTACATATTTATTTTTACTTTTTACATATTTATTATTGATTTTAGTAATGTGTTTCTTCATTTTTTTTAAATTATGTACTTATACGCGCATTCAAAATTTCAGCTAAATCGGAAAAAAATATAGTGTCTAATGTTGTATAGATAATGAATGTTACGGAACCCTTCGTGCGCGAGTCCGACTCGCACTTGACCAATTTTTTATGGTTTGGCAACTTTTTTACATTAAATACCATTGAAAAGCTGGATTCCGTTTGAATTGTAATCCATAGGTATCTGAATTTTTTTTTCAATTTTAATATCACTGATCCAGTGAGAAAATATCCAAACTTTTCTTTCAGTCACCTTGTATCATCATCATTCTCAGCGTATTCAACCATTTCCAATTATGGTGTAGTCTTCCCACATATCTTGATAATCTCTTTGAAAGACAGTCGCCTTGTATATTATTATAAAAATATTAACAACAGCAATAAATAATAATAATCATATAGCAAATTGTTTTGTTTTTCCAGGATGTTTTAGATACTGAAGAATGGACATTTAACTTAACAGAGGCTAATATCAAGGGGAATGATACCCCCAACTGGTACAAACTGTACTCCTTCAGAGAACAGTATGGAGTAAGCAGTTTGTCTCCAGAGGCTCTAACGGAGTTCATGCCAAGACTGGCGGCTAACCATAGTTTACTGTACGACTATCACATGTAAGTAGGCAATAAATTCGTATAATTGGAACATAAATCCAATAAAAATATTACGCAGGATGACCACAATTCAATCTAACTTGTTTTTAAAGTAATCGTAGACCAAAATTTATATCCTAATCTAATAAAATATACCAATGATCCTGATTAGAACAATATTTATTTATTAATTTAGTTAATATGTATTTATTCATTAGTTTAGTAGTTAATTTTACTTTAAAATACTTGCACTTTTTTAAGTGACACCCTGTGTATCCAAATGACTTAAAAGAGGAATGTCACATTATAAAGTTTTGTATTAAAACCAACGCTTATTTTTTAACAAGTTATCGGTCCCTGAATCGATCTGCACTTTCTATACAGAGTGTATCAAAACTGCACTATGTATACATGGTGTGTATACAGGGTGGTGACAATTTCGATGCTCAACATTGACATCTCAGAATCTACAAGAGATACGAATTCGGTTAAATGGGACAAAAGTTGCTTAATTAGAAGTTTGACAAACACCTATGAAGAAAACCCCGGTATCTTGATTAGTTTCGGATTTATGTCAAAAAAATTAAAATAGTACGTTTATTTTAAATCACAATATCATCAGAATTATTGTACCTATTGCGACGTAAGTTGGTAGTTTTATATTTTTAACCTCGGACAATTAAATGCCGTTTTCAAAAAATTTCTAAGCCTTCTAGATTTCGCACAACAGTCAAGTTTTTGTTTTCTTATGGCTGCTATTTTGAATTTTTATAGTATTAGATAGAGCGAAAAAGTCTATACGGAGATCTATATGAAAAATTAACTTGCTCTTATATAATGTGTCAATTGGATTTCCAAGACAGCGAAGAGCGAATTTTTAAAAAATCTAATTTTTTCAGTGAATTTACATGATAATGAATGAAAGTTAGATACCAACGTATAGATTATTTTTTGCTCTATCTAATAGTATAAAAAATCAAAATGACGGCCATAAGAAAACAAAAACTTGACTGTTGTGCGAAAACTAAAAGGCTTAGAAATTTTCTGAAAACGGCATTTAATTGGCCGAGGTCAAAAATATAAAACTACAAATTTACGTTGCTGACGATATTGTCATTTGATATTGTCAATAGTTCTGAAGATATTGTCATTTAAAATAAACGTATTATTTGCATTTTTTTGGCATAAATTCGAAACTACTTATTAAGATACCGGGATTTTCTTCATAGGTGTTTGCCAAACTTCTAATTATGCAACTTTTGTCCCATTTAACCGAATTCGTATCTCTTGTAGTTTCTGAGATGCCAATCTTGTGCATCGAAATTGTCACCACCCTATACAGGGTGGTCCGAACTGTATTCCGGAAACTTCGGCAGCATATTCTGCAGATAAAAATAAGTAAAAAAGTTTGTATAAATGTACGTCCTAAAATGCTTAGTTTCAGAGATACAGGGTGTAGAAGTTTCATTTTTATTTCGATTTTTTCTAAATAATTTCTGAAGTGACATCAATATTTGGATGAAAATTGGTGTCTGGGAGTTTTTTGACATGAGAAATTTGATTTTGATGTCAATATGACTCCTACTAGTAGAGGGCGCCACCTACATGTGTTTGGCTGTTTTGAAGCGTCAGAACTTTTTGTACCTGTATAAAAGTATCGAGTGAAAAAATCACATATCTGTGACTTTTTACGTAAAAAATATATCTTTGTAAAAATCGCTACGAGCAATCGTTCTCAAGATATTTAGAATGGAAATAGTCAACATATGTCATTATTTACGAAAAGTAAACACGTTGAGTAGATAGTTATTTCACTGAAATAATAAATTTGGGAAATTTTTATTTTTTTAAATTAATCATAAATTTTTCTGCAAAAAATGACGATAAAACGGTTTCTGTTAAACTTTTAGCACAAAAACATTTCAAATTTATGATTTCAGTCTAATATACTCTGTTTTTTTTCTCAGGTAAGATTTCGACAGACGATGACAGAAGAAAAGCAGATGACGTCCCATACCAATCTATTTATTTTACTAAAAAAAGTTTCTAATAATTTTTAAGTTATCTATGGATGGGTTTAAATATAAATCCGTCATGCGTCGTGTCTTGTTGTTTTTAACCAGTTTATTGGTTTATTTGGCAAGCCAGATCGTATTTCAATTTTATTGGTTTGACGGAACGATGAACGACAAACGGACGCCGATGCGTATGAACTCGCCTTTAGATTTTTGTCATTTTTGACGCTTGTCAAAGTCTTGCCAAATTATTGGTTATAATTTTGTGTCAACTTTTGTTAAATACCCTGCATTTTGAAAGATGATGCATTTTGATTCGTATTATTACGTGTGTTTTGTGTCTTTTGAAGTCAAGTGGAGGAAAAATCGAGTGAAAATTAACTGTAGGCCCAGAGCACAGTTTATGGTTAATACACGCTGCCCAGGCAGAAAGTCTTATACACCAATGAAGTTGCCATCGATAAAGTTTGTATACCATTTCGTCGTAGATAAGTGCATTTCGTATATAAGGATCAAACTAAACACATACTAAAAACTGGAGTAGCTGTAAAATATCGACATCACACGATAGGTAAATAATGGATTTTAGTACTGGTGCAGAAAAATAATGTCAAAAGGTACTGGTTTAAAAAAATTAAGATTAAAGGTAATTAATCCACCTTTAAGGTATAAAATTTGGTAGGTGTTATTATTAATAAAATAGTTGTTGTATTTACCTATGTTGTTTTATTTATACCTGTGGAATATTACAAATTTGTATTTGTACATAAGTTATATTGATAAATATAATCATAAATGCGGGTAGTTTCATAAAGCTTGAAAGTAAATAATAGTTATTTTTTATATTTTTTTGGTATGTAGTGCCTTGTTCTTGTTTGTTTTGTATTAACACATACCGTTTTTATTAAATAAAATAACTCGATTACATTTCAGTTTTATACAGTTTTTTTCACAATATTTTGAAGTAATCACTTGTCATCTTGTCAATCAAATTTTAAATATTTCCTGCTATGCGTTCCAGTTGTACCAACTTATTTCTTTGTAAAATAAAATAAACTACTTTGAAATTAAAATGACAGACACATCTATCACTGTCAAGGATCTTCTCGTTGGACAGACTATAACTATTTGTCTATTTAGTCTAATAACCCAACATGTTTAATTTATGTCAATGATGACAGGTATTGATAATTTCGATTCCAAATATCTCGAAAACCATTACTTGTAGCGATTTTTACCAAGAGACCTTTTTCACGTAGAAAACGTCGTAAATGTATATTTTTTTACTTAGTAGTTTTATACAGGTACGGATGAAAAGTTATTACTCTTCAAACTAGTTAAAAAATATGTAGGTGGCGCCCTCTACATGCAGGGATCATATTGACATCAAAATCAAATTTCTCATGTCAAAAAACTCCCAGAGACGATTTTCATCCAATAATGTTACTTCAAAAATTATTTGGAAAAAATCGAAATAAAAATGAAACTTCTACACCCTGTATCTCCAAAACCAAGCATTTTAGGACAACATTTATACGAACTTTTTTACTTATTTTTATCTGCAGAATATGCTGCCGAAGTTTCCGGAATACAGTTCGGACCACCCTGTATACAGGGTGAGTCTTAAATAAGCGCAAATATTTTCAGAGCTAGTAGATCTCGATAAAAGAAACATATTTTACTCTTTATCGTTTTTCAAATAAATCCAAAATAACTGAGTTATTTTACTTTGAAAATTAGCAAAAAAAATAGTTTTTACTAAAATTTGGGAAGCACTGGATCTTTTCTGGATTTTCTGTCTTGTAAATTTAATCTACTACCTATATTGGCCATATTATCAAGAAATTATATTTTTTTAATTGAAAACTAAAAAAAAATTGCAAATTTTCAAAAAAAAATCGCGAAAAAAACCTCATAATCGTTTTTCTGGGGTCGAAATATACTACCCCTAAAAATATTTGCACTTATTTAAGATTCACCCTGTTTAGTGCGGTATTCTAGGAATAATTTAATATTCTTTTTTTAATTTCAGATTGAGGTATCGCAATTCAGACATAGCAAGAATTTCGGGCTGTGACGATAAATGCAAATTGAATTATTTATGTGAAGTATCAGTTAGCGACGTGGGGAACAACACGGCCTGTGACGTTCTAACCGAAATATTCAATAGGAACTAGAAAAGCTTTCATTCAAACCTTTTCTAAAAAAACTAATTCAAACAACTCAGATTTTGGTTATTACTGTTTTGTGAAGATGTCAAAAATTCTTTTGTGCATATAATTCAGAATAAACAATTTTTAAAACTAACTTTTTCGTATTTATTTACATACATAGTTAGAGATATTGTGTTAGATGATTTTAGCAAAATAAAAACACTAAATCACCACGATACACCAAAACACTTTTACTTTAGGCAAACTAGAAGATCAATATTAACTAGATTTAAAGAACATTTAGCTCAGATAAGATACGGTAGACCGGATAAATCTTGCGTTGCCGAACATATTGTTGATAATGAACATTGTATAGATCTTAATAATTTAAAATTAATTAAACAAGTCTCAAATTACAGGCAATTAGATGCATATGAAAGCATCAGAATTAATAAATGTAAAGATAGTATGAACAGAGTCAACGGTCCAATTCCTTCAAGTTCTTTGTTCCTACTACTCTAGTGGCGGAAATCTAACTGTTACGCTCAGTTGGCTCTGACTCGGTTGGCCAGATTTTGCCACGCCCACTCGTTGTCCACTGAGCGTGTATATAAACGCTCAACTTGTAGATTGTACTTTAGTTTATAATCATCTGCTGATGATGCTAACATGGTTAGCGAAACGCGCGTCCAGTGTAAAAGTAAAAGTGTTTTGGTGTATTGTGGTGATTTAGTGTTTTTATTTTGCTGTGTAACACCAAAGGTTCCAACCCTCAACTGTAAAGATGATTTTAGGATTTTTTCTTGTTTTAACAATTGACAAAAATCAAGAAAAAGGACGGGAAGGGTGCAAACTACCCCCACCCCTACATAAATTTTAGTATAAATGTTTTCCAACTCAACCGACGACCGATTCTTTTGTCCTAAAATGGTCCTTATAGTATTTATTACATTTTTTGTCTCTTGTAAAAAGCAATGTGAAAAAATGTGATATCATTATCGAACCAGAAACACATCTATTTTTTTCCGCATTTTTTTTTGTGAAAACTTAATATTTTTTTTTAATTTTTAGTTTAAAAACATAGTGTCTTCATAATATGGTAACATAGGTACCTAGTAGTTTAAATTTACAAGAAAGAAAACCCACACAAAATCGTTTTTCAGGTTTTTATATTCAAACTAAAATAACTCGGTTATTTTGGACTTATTTGAAAAACGGCAAAGAGAAAATATGTTTCTTCTATAGACATCTTCTAGCCCTGAAAAAAATTGCACCTTATGTATAACTCACGCTGTATAGGCGTTCAGTTAGCACCAGTGATGGGCGGTGGGTAAATCCCCAATGAGTATAATAAAGAAATTTGGGGTATGTACATGGTATACAGGGTGTTTCAAAACAAATGCGAAAAACTTTAGGGGGTGATTCCTTGTTCAAAATAAAGGGTAGTTTGCTTTATAAACGTTGGGTCAAAAGTCAACCATTAGGGAGATATCGCGGTACAAAGATGGCGGAAAAATAATGTTTTCATTTTTTATCTTGAAAACGAAAAGAGATAGACTAATGAAATTTTATGGAAGCATTACTGTTATGAAAACACACTTTCAGGTAATTTTTTTACTTTTTTAAAATGAGTGGAAGGGGTTGAAATAAACTACCCATATCATTCTTGTTAACGAAATTTAAAGAAAAATCTTATCAAACACATGCAAATGCTTTAATTTGGATAGTTTAGTTGGTTTAGAAACTTTTTTACCTCTTGTGTTTTTTTGGTAAAACTCACCGATTGGAAATTAAAAAATAAAATGTAAAGCATTACATGTCAGGACAGAAAATATTTTTTGATTAAGAATCTAGTGATAATAACGATAATAATAATCATCTAGATAATAACGTATTGCAGTAGAGTAATGTCAAATAAAATAATATTAGGAACATCATAAAAAGTACCAGCGACCGATTAGATTTTTTCCTAAAAAAATTACAGCAGCCCACTAGATTCTTTATCAGAAAATGTTTTTTGTCCTGACCTGTAATGCTTTACATTTTATTTTTTAATTTCAAATCGGTGAGTTTTATCAAAAAAATAAAAGAGATATAAAAGTTTCTAAACAAACTAAACTATCCAAATTAATTTTTTTGCATGTGTTTGATAAGATTTTTCTTTAAATTTCGTTAACAAGAATGATAGGGGTAGTTTATTTCAACCCTTTCCACTCATTTTAAAAAAGTGAAAAAATTACCAGAAAGTGTGTTTTCATAACAGTAATGCTTCCATAAAATTTTATTAGTCTATCTCTTTTCGTTTTCAAGATAAAAAATAAAAACATTATTTTTCCGCCATCTTTGTACCGCAATATCTCCCTAATGGTTGACTTTTGACCCAACGTTTATGAAGCAAACTACCCTTTATTTTGAACAAGGAATCACCCCCTGAAGTTTTTCGCATTTGTTTTGAAACACCCTGTATACCCAAATACCTGTTGAGTTGTCCACTCGGCCTCCTCTTACCGTCTACAAGCTCACCGTAAAGCAGAGATTTTGGTATGCGATTTTCTTGCATTCTGCATACGTGACCAGCCCATTATAAGCGGGATTTAGTAATCATGACTTCAACGCTCTCGCAGCTAGCTTTTTCAAGGACCGATATGTTTGAGACATGGTGGAACCACTTAATTCTTAAGAGTTGTCTAAGGTGTCTCTGTTGCAACTTTAAAGCGTTCGTGTGTCGGCGGTACGACATCCAGAGATTATTATTGCTGGGTAAAGTTTCGTTTTTGTACTCAAGTCATGATTATAGAAAACGCTGTCTTTTAATTTCCAGAATGCTCTTGAGGCGCTGCTAATCCTGTGCTGAATTTCACAGTCGATATTGGCCTTTTCCGAAATCAAACTGCGGAGGTAATTGAATTCCGCAACATACTCCAATAGTTTATCTCCGATTTTTATAGCTGCGTATTTTTATAGTTGTACTTAATAACACCACTATTGACGTCGTGGATTCTGTGAAATTCTTAGAACTTGTTATAGACAACTCATTAAAATGGGACTTGCACATCGAAGCTTTATCGAAGCCTGTTTTGCGCTAAGATCAGTTTTTAAGGAACTTAACTTATCAACCTCTAGAATAGTCTATTGTGCCCTTTTTGAGTCGCATCTTCGTTGTGCCCTTCCATTTTGGGGAACTTGCTGCGCGACAAAATTTGATCGTATTTTCAAACTTCAAAAGAGACTCACTGCTAGAATTTCTTTAAAAATTTCAAAGTACTGACTCTTCCTTATTCATTTTTGAATCCGTTTGCTTAATCCGCAAACACATATCTGCTATTCCCGAAAGGCCATCTCACAACTATCCACTTAGGAATGCGGAGAACGATCTTTATCTGCCAACCCCGAGCTCAGAACTCAGAACTAGTTAAAGGCTCAATACTGTACAGTACAATGCCAAAAAAATTAACAATCATCTGCCTTTGAATATCAAGTCACTTTTATTCTTTCCCGCATTTCGCAAAGCTCTGAAATCATACTTACTGGAGAGAGCCCTATATGCGGTAAACGACTTTTTTGTTGATGTTTAATCATGAACAATTTTGAATTTTAAAATTTTGATCATCTCACACACTAGTTAAAGGTCTAGTATTTAATATTTAATATTTTATAACTCTTACATGATTATATCCATTTACAATTTTCCTATTGTAAAATTTTATTGATGCGCCTTTTTGTGTTCTGCAACGTGCACGTATGTTTTATTTGTAATTTTAATGACGTAATTTTTTTTTAATTGATTTGTATTGTATGATATTTTTTATTATTTGTATACTTTTTTGTGCTTTTGTTTATTTTGTAAATGCTTTGTCGATGGAGCTATTTTGGCTTTGGTGCACATGATTTTAGTTTTCTCGATGTTCAACTTAAGGCTCAAAGCCTCGTTAACAATTAATTACCGAAATTAGAGCAATAAAAAAGTAACAATAAAGTGTTTTGGTGTATTGTGGATTTATGTTTTATTTTGCTGTTGTAAGATCAAAGGTTCCAACCCCCAAAACTGTAATATTCCATTCCATATAAGAGCATAGAATAAGTTTATTTTACATACTATCTTTATATTACTTTTTTTCTATAGTTACAGTACAGTTAACATAAAAGCACAGTATGTATATCGAATTACAATACATAACAACTTCGACAACAACATCCATACGAAATACATCTATATGGTTGTTCTCGACCTTACGCTTTCTGGAATCAAACCAATAAGTGTAGCTGAAAATAAGATAAAGTTTTGTGTGTTTAACATTTTCACGCTTTTGTGTTGGAAATACAATAGGGCGATGTGAGAACGAGGAAAATATTGCGGCCGTGAGACCGAATCGCGTTTTGATGTTGTATAAAGTTTAGTTTAAGCGAGCAATTGAAACGAAATATTCTTTAGGCGGAAAACGATCTCTAAAACAGAGAATTTCCGCTTTCGAAACATAATAAATATTTTTATGTTGGTGGAGTACTTTGAAATTCCATGAAAATATTTGTTATGTAAACAGTAATCTATTTGAGGCATACAGACATAAAGTATAAAAGATTGACTAACCATATAAATACGTTGATTTATTTGGCCCAACATATATCAGCAAAATCTAAATATACAGTTTATTCATTTAGAGTTTAATTTAACGACAAACTCAATATATTCCTTTTTTCAAGCTTTGGCGAGTAGTTGGGCTCATTGTTATCTATTGTTGGCTACGCGTGGCCAAATTATCCCTGCTTACTTATAGTTACTTTACTACCATTACTCACTGAGTATTTGACATGCGTTTTCTTTCATGAGCTTTTCTGTGACTAAAAAGCCCAATACGTGATGTACTCCGGACTTGTCCGGACCACGGTTCGGAAATAGTTAATTAAGAGGTAATTTATCTGGTTAACTACGTGTGTTTTTCTTCAAAAATTACGTATTTTCCCGTTCATTATCTACATGAAAACTACATTAATGAACTAGGTACGCATTGATATTATGACAAAAAAACATCATATAAATAAAAATGTTCATTTTGATAAATACATGTAATGCATAGGCTTTTTATTTAATTGAAGAATTATAAATTCATAAAAAACAGAATATCATGGATAACACAATATATTAAAATTATTATAA